GGGTTTATATAGGCGATTTTCCCGCCGGTCACAAGATCGATAAGATCAATTTAATGTGTGATTACATGATCATCAATACAACACCTCCCCCATCAGAAAAAAAGAAACAATTAACAACAAAGCAAGTGAACTAACGAAATGTATCCGGGTACCTCTGTACCGGCCTTCTTATCCTTGTAGAGCGACGGGGTGGTATCTTGGCTCTGTGGGCTTGTCGTCCTTGAGCAGCAGCACCTGTAGCTTGGGCGGCTCCCTCTCGTCGTGTTCACGCATCGTCCAATTCGAGCGTCTCGAGCAGGGTCAGCAGTGACTTATCTCCATAACCTGGCGGTGCTTTCGCGTCACGACGTTTCCTCGTTATCGTTCCACTCAGGTTAACTTCATAGCTGACCTTGCCAGTAATTCTGGTGATGATACCTTCTTTCCACATGAACTGCGATGCTTTCCACACCTGAGCATGAATCGCTTCACCGACTTCGAATTCTTTTGGAACCGTATTGCTTTTTTCTGTTAAACTGTATCTTCTTCCGGTTTTCTCCAGATGGTGCCGTGGGTGATTCTTCCATCGGGCGCAGTAGACTCAAACGTGCGCGAAGTTTTCTTCCTAAGAATGCTTCCGCTGGTGTCCTGTTGTTCAAGCATTCGTTTGGAGTTGTCCGGCAAGCTTGCAGGATCACGTTCAGCGTCTCTCCCGATGGCTTCTCCTTCCCCTTCAGTTCCTTGATTCCGGGTTCCAGTGTATCAACGAAATATTCGGCTTGTCCGTTCGACTGCGGGTGGTAGGGAGCTGTTCTTACGTGTGTTATTCCTCCTTCTTGGCACATCATCTTGAATTGTTCCGAGGTAAATTGCGTTCCATTGTTGCTGACGATGGTTTGCGGGATTCCATATCTTGCAAAAATCTTCAGTTCCTTTACCGTTCGGCCTGCAAAGATACTTGTCATCTCAATAATTTCCGGCCACTTACTGAAAGCATCTACAACGAACATATAAAATAATCCGCAAACAGATCCTGCGAAGTCTACATGAATCCTTTGCCACGCATAAGCTGTTGTTGACCAAGCTTCCAAAGGGGCCTTGAAGGGATTCTTCGCATATTCTTGACATCTTGAGCAATTTCGCACTATTTCTTTACAATCGTTGTCGAGGTTTGGCTAGAAAACGTAACTTCTGGCGAGCTTCTTCATCCGTACTATTCCTGGATGACCAACGTGCATTCTCTGAGAACTTGGGCTTGTAGTTCTCCTGGAATGACAACTCTTGCCACCATCATGAGGCATCCATCCACGATCGATAGCGTTTCTCTCCTGTTGAAATACGGTGACAGTTTAGAGTTCACCTTTTGCCATTTACCGGACCTCATATTTGACATAATATTCCTGAGTAAGAAGTCCCTTGTGGTGCTATCTCTGACATCTTCATGGGTCAGTGGTAGTCTTCTGATGCAATCTTTCAGCAATGTGGAAACATCATTCTCCACTGCTGCTACTACCACATTTTCGTCCGCATCTTGGTGCTTCTGCATCAGCCTTGAGAGACCATCTACATGTCCGAACTGCGTGGTTTTGACATACTCAATGTCAAAATCATAAGCAAGCAAAATAGTAGCCCATCTCATAAGCCGATTTGCGGAGTATACCGGGACTCCTTTTTTGTCTCCAAAAATAGCTAACAAAGGCTTATGATCTGTAAAAGCAAAAACTTTCCTCCAAATAAGTACTTGTAAAACTTTTTGACTGCAAAAACAAGTCCAAGAGCCCGGCTGACAGTGACCTTGAAGCATGTGAAATAGGTTTCTCCGAACCGTCTCCGTATGTATGCGAGATAACGCATCCAATACCATATTCACAAGCGTCAGCTGCCACAACAATCTTCTGCTGAGGGTCGTAGTGAGCAAGATTGGCGTCGCTTGACAATGCCTCCTTCGATTTTTCAAATGCTTCATGTTCTTTGGAGCTCCATCTCCACTTCACGTCCTTTTTGAGAAACGGTCCATGGAGATTCATCATAGATGGCACAAATATATAGTACGTAATCAATCCCAGAAAAGATATTAGTTGCGCAATATTCTTCGGTTCGTCCATCTTCTTGATAGCTTCGATCCTCTGTGGATTGGGTTTTCTCCAGTTCTCGTCAAGAATGAAACCGAGATAACGTATTTCTAGTCTGGAGAATGTGCACTTGTCCAGACGTACCTTGAATCCATAGTCAGCAATTCTTCCGAATACTGCGAGCAGACTTTCCCTATGATCTTGTTCGTTTCTGTCGCTCACCAGGATATCGTCCCGATAGGTAAGTACACCTTGCAATCCGGTTACCATTTTGTTCATTACTTGTTGGAAAATTCTTGGTGCAGTTTTGACTCCGAAAGACAGCCGGTTGTACCTGAACAGTCCCTTGTGCGTATTTATGACGACTTTCTTCTTCGACTCCTCGGAAAGCTCTAACTGAAGGTACGCGTCCGATAAATCGATTTGCGAGAAAATCGTCCCTCCATTCAGGGACGCGAAGATATGCTCTGGTAAGGGATAATCGAAAGACTGCAAGGCTCTGTTCAGCCCAGTTGAGAAATCAGCACATATTCTCAACTTTCCGTTCTGCTTCCTGACACAGGCAATGGTTGCGGCTCACTCACTATGGCTAGCTGGTGCAATAACATCCAACTGCATAAGCCTGTCTAGTTCGGCGTTCACAGCTTCTAGTGCAGCACTGGGTACCGGACGACTGTTACAGAACACTGGGCGCACGTTCTGGTGTATTTGCAAATCAACTTCTTCTTTATTGCAGCGTCCTAACCCTTCTTCGAAGAGTTCCGGATAAGTCTTTCTCAATTCTTCTTCTACTCCGGCAGCGGATGCCACTTTTACTTCCGCTGTCATCATCTCCAAGTGATACCTCATCTCTTTGCTCGCTCTTTTCCATTCGAGGCCAATGAGCGAGTTATACGGCGTCACATAGGCATATCCTTCAGTTTCCACGCCCCTCATTTTGATCTCGTATTTCAGCTTCCCGTAAATCTTCATCTGTTCTCCACTGGCATTCTTCACGACGATATTCGACGATATTTGACCTCTCCAGTGCTGGGGATCCCACCTTCTTCCATGTTTTCTCGTTGAGCAATGTGATGTCGAATCCTGTATCTAGCAGAAATCGGTCGTAGTTGTTTACTAGAGCATCAATGTACAGCCGAGGACAATTTGTTTCAAGTGCTGCGTTCGAAATCTGTGCTGCGTTCGAAATCTGGACTGTTCGCACTTGTCTTCTTGGAGCTCCCCTTCGCCCTTTGCCCTCGCGATTAGGGTTTCTCATTTTCTTCGTCGTTTCTTTTTGAGCGCCCGGCTTCTTCTGTTGTACAATGTCACAAAACTTCTCCTTGTGACCAGTTTTCCTGCACTTCTTGCAGAACCAGGGCTTGGACTTGCACTGCCTTGCATAGTGCTTACCTCCGCAATTCCAGCACTTCTTTTCGATTTTCTACGGTCGTTGCTTCAACAGTCTTCGTACAACCTGCAACAATCTCACTGCCTCTTCTGAGACTCAAAAAATTTTCGCATCTTGGTGCAACTCGTGTAGAGATACTCTTCTTCCAGCCTTGTGCTCTCTATCAAGTATTGCGATCAGCCCCTGCCTGATTTCTGCTTCTTGCTGTGATTTCAGGCCGAAAATCCACAGGAGCCACAGGAGACATTTGATCCCGTCTGAGTTTAATTCGTGAATCTTCGCCTTCTCACAGAATTCATTCACGCGACCAGTATACGTGGGATAATCTTCAGCGTCGTTCTTCTCTAACTTGAGGCACTGATATCTCGTAGTGAACAGCGACGTCTTGTGATCGAAAAGCTGCTTCAGTGCTTCTACCGTCTCATCGAATCCAATTCGGGAAACATCCCTGGGTAGAACATGCCTCTAGTATTTGACGAATATCACTGAATCCAGTCTCTCACATAATAGTCTCACCCTGTTAGTCTCTGTAAGCTGTTTCGCGTCTTCAGAAAACACTTCCGTGTATCTTGAGAACCATTTTGAAAAGCTCATGTCAGTATCAGGGTGAAAAGTGAATTTCTCGATTTGGTGCTCAAAGCTGCCATCACATTCGGTAGTGTCACTTGTTCTTCTGGCTTAACGGCTCCCTGGTCCCGCTCTGGGGCGCGATCCATAATTTTTGCGATGATGTCCCTTTGTTCCTTCTCATTGTCGACGCAAGGTTCCTTTGCTCTCCAATCAATTGCTTGAACATCGACAGGACTGTGGCTGGATCCATTGCTCCACCAGCGGGTCAGCAAACAGGGAAGAACAGAAAATCAATAAAGAAAAATCAAACACACAAAAGGTTCTTCTCCATGCAAGGGGGCTTGTCCCACACAAATGCGACCAAAAGGGAAGCAAAAACGAAGAGAGCTTATTTGCAAGTACTCTCCAGGTCCGCTTGTTGGAGCTGGATATAAGGACGGTCGTCGAGCCGAATCTCGAGTCGTATGTATCGATTGCAGAGTTCTACGAAGATCCTGATCGCCACTGTTGTGTTGGGAGCCGTTGTCGAGCCCTTGTCCGGTGGCAGAGATGTCGATTATAGAAATATTAGTAGGCTCGGTGAATAATGCAACACAGTTGACTCTGGGGAGGTTGGAGGTGCTGATGGAGGCGATAGGCGGTGGGAGATGGAAGACCGTATAACTCGATAACTGGTGAGCCCGCCATCCCAGGGTTTATATAGGCGATTTTCCCGCCGGTCACAAGATCGATAAGATCACCTTAATGTGTGTTTACATGATCACCAATACAGCAGTATCCAAGCCTCTGTACCGGACCTAGTGCGTAGAACTGTCGACAAAAAAATTGCCGTACTTGCCCAGAAACACAGCTGGATTTAGGGGATGGACTCGTTGCTTCTGTTGTACTGGTCGATATACCTTCAGTATCCTAGTAGGTATATCCACGAAGTATCCGGGAGGCAATTTGGGGTCGTATCCAAGCAAGAGTCCACCCGGCCCCCACGACAGAACTTGGGAAGCTAATTGTGGGTAACCATATGCAGAAACAGTAGTATAAATAGGTTTCATTAACCTGAATATGAGACAACCATCAAAACGACAGCGTTGGGTAGGACCGCTCGGGATAGCTGCTAAAATCTCATGGCCAAAACATGCTGCCCAAAAGGACAAGGACTAAGACGGTGATCTGTATTTGAACGCATGATCACTTAGATCGTGAGAGTGTATCAAAGATTTGATAATACAAGCTAGGAAGATCAAGTACGGCGTCATCGGACTGAATGAGATGAGGAGGCTTCTCCCGCAGCACGCCGTTCTCGAGACTTTAAAAGAACTGCTTCTTGAAGAATGCGACAGCGGAGGCGTCGGCGGCGTAGGTGCCCTCGACAAAACGCATTTTGCCGTGAACATCGAACAATGCAAAAGCTTGACAATCCGAAATGGATGTTTGTGATTGAGAAAACGTTGCACGACTGCAGCTCCAATCCTCATTCCCTACGCACCATCATCTAGCCACGAAAAAGAAGAGCTGGAATGTCTCATATAATATTGATCTGAAAAGGCTATTTAGTGAGAACCACACCTTCTTCAAGGCCATTATCGGTGATTTCACCAGAATTGACCCCCAGAAGAACGATCGAAGGGCTACATATTGGGGCTCGGAGAACGTAATGGAATGAGAAGGGTTAACGACTATTCAAGTTTACCATTCAACCTACACCATCCACGGTAATTCGCAGTTTCAGTTCCTTTCATTTGCGATCAACATGGTGGACAGCTACTTGGTAGACAGTCCCACGATGAAACGAATAACATCATTTTCGATCGAACGTTTTGACTGACTTCGCTCTTGTTCTGTAGACCTATACGAGTGGAGACCATTGTCTATTTCGCGCTGGATTCTGTGTTTCAGTGTGTGGAGAGAAGGATGACCCATGAGCAACATATTGGGACCAATTCGCTCCCCTTGCGAGTGAATGTCGACAACTTCGATGAAGGATATAACCAGCTCATCGAACATCTTCACGACAACCATCAACAAACGTCCAAACGTGCGATGCAATGCAGAGAGGCAATAAGGGAAGACCTGAGGGAGAGAAGAGCAGCAGTTCTGGCCAAAGGCACCGAGTCCACGAAGAGCATTTGCAAAGCTCGCCAAAACTTCGTCAATCACAGACCAATATAACATCCCCTCATCGCCCTGAAGGAGCAGTTACTGCATCTCGAAGATCAACTACGACTTCTACTCGGATCTGTTCGTCAGCCACGTTTACCTGCCTTCTCCATAGTAGGCAAAACGCATAGACTGCTTTGCATAAATATACGTCCACCCATGAATGGCCCTGAAACTCGCAACTCTTGCTGTTTTAGGAAGTCTCCAATTGAAAGTTGCGAATCTCCATCGCTGCGACTCTGATTTCAAACAGATAAGTCTCACTGGGCTATCCCGCAAGCAAATACTTCCACCTAACAAAACAATAAATTCAACAACGAGAGATTAACAGGGAAGAAAAATCACAAATCCAATAATCTGCAGGCCCTCCATTCCCTCGATTAACTTTGAAGATGACCATTCATGCTCGTCTAAAGATAGTCGATGAGCCTTTGGTCAACTTGATGCTATGCTCTAATGGTGGCTTCCTCGAGCTCCATGATCGAATAAAACTGGCAGTCACTGGCGCACGCCTTTCTCATCATGTATTCCCATGCGTTTTCATTTGTTTCGAAGTCAGGGCTCATTGCACGCCTAAGCAGGAGTGGGACCTGATGACACCTAAACCGCGCTCGGGTGCTTTGGCTGAAATGTATCGGGGCCATATGTTGCATAAAAACATAGTTTTGCCGCTGATTTTGGCGGCAATAAGGAAGGAGTGGGTACCTAGTAGCAACCCGAGAGCCGAAGGATTTCAGAATTTTCGGTACAAAGCAGTCGTTCAGTCGCTCTTTCGATGTGATTCTTGCCCGAACCAATAGGCCGCCTCCCTTGGAGTTCTGTCTTGGAAAAAACTTTTCCTCTTCGAAATCGTGAAAAAAGAATCGACTGCCGTCCTGTCCATCGCAAAAAGACTTTTCATCGGAAAACACAGCCTTAAGAGAAAACAGTCAAAGAAGAAGATTGAACCTCTAAAAAACAGCCACTTTCTTCCAGTCAGATCGAATGCGTCTTTTTGCAAATTAACTCGTCTTTCTGATGTTTTTTCATCATAAATGAAGTCTTCCTCATTTTTTGACGGACGATGAACCTGGACCACTCGATAAACTGTTGAGACATCGAGTTCGAGGGAGGATTTTACTTTCGCGCATGACTCTGTCGAGTTCGATGCTTCTTATAGAATCCGTCGCTTATCCCAAATCGAAAATAGTGGAGGACATACTGCAGCCTTTTTGTTCCCATAAGTACCAAGATTCTTGTGAGTTCTGTTGACGACATCGTTGCAGTGGCCCAAATCCTGTGCGATTCATGGTTTAGACTATCCCTGCTTCTGCTTTGAAGGATTCCGACCTTTTCGAATTCCGATAGCGGTTTCCCTTCAGCCATAACCATATGAAAAAACACTACATCTACAGAGCATATACCAAGCGAAAATGAAAGGACGCGAGAAAACATAGGGCGGATGTAGCTTTTCGCGGAATATACCAGCACAATTCTTGCAAAGAATGAAGATAAAACATAGCACTTTCCCATTCGTATTTTGGAGTTTGATTTATACTTGTCACAACTTTCAACCCGGGAAACATCGACAGTTACGACTTTTGGGCGATTAATGGGTGGACGTATACTTATGTGGAGCAGTGTGGGTCCTTTCAGTTCTCCTTTTCAGAATTCGACATGTCATCACGTCGATGAAGAATTGTGCGGCACCCGGTCTCGATAGGATCAAAACAGAACTATCATCAGAACTCTGGTTACGCTCTCCACGCGGTACCTGTCGTAATGCAAAGTACCCACGTCGGGAAAACCAGCAATACTGTTTTGATGTATAAAAAGGGAGATCCAGACGATATCGGCAGCTATCATCCAGTCTGAATTC